GTAGGGTCAATAATGGACCAATCCTCATAAAATATAGCAGAGAGATTTTGTCTTGTAACTGAAGGGGACCTTATATGGGGTTTAGAGTCAATTATGTGCCGATCCTTATAAAATTTGACAAAGTTATTTAGGCTAGCGCTATAGATGCTTTTTTATTCAGTTATTAAAAGCTTAAAGGTAATTTTCTGAAGGGGACCTTATATGGCGGGTAGGGCCAATTATGGGCCGATCCTTATAAAATTTTACAAAGAGATTTAGATTCCTTTAAAACATTTTTATGCCGAATTTCACCGCTACAGATGCTTCTTTTAGACAGTTATGAGCGTCAAAGTCAATTTCTGAAGGAGCTCTTATATGGCGGATAGGGTCAATTTTCGGCTGCTCCCTTTAAAAATTCACAAAGAGATTTAGGTAAAACATATTTATGCCGAATTTCACCGCTACATATGCTTCTTTTAGACAGTTTTGAGCGTTAAAGCCATTTTTGAAGAGGACCTTATATGGGGACTACGCCCATTTGCAATACCAAACAACCTGCGTTAACTAAAAATATTTGTGCAAAATTTCAGCTCTCCAGTTGTTGCCGTTTGGACTCTATCGTATTTTCAACAGATAGACAGACAGACGGACATGGCAAGATCGTCTTAGAATCTAATAAGAACCCAGAATATATATACTTTTATGGGTCTTAGACGAATTTTTCGATGTGTTGCACACGGTATGACAAAAACAATATACCCCCATCTTTTTTGATGATAGGTATAAAAAATTTTGGAAAAAATGTGAAAACAAATATCGAAGAACTTATGGCAGACAAACGCATGATATGTCAGGATGAAATTGCAATGTAAACGAAGCAGAAAGTTGTAAAGAACATTTAAATGGTGAATGGTAAAGGACGACTTTAGTATAACGTTGCAAATAGTTTTTTATAAAAAAACTAATAAAGCCAAATTATTTTTGGGCTTCAATGATATATGGAGACTTCGCAAAAACAATCACAGCTAACGTTTAGATGGATGGACTTCACTTAACGATATAGAATATACATATGTACATTTACACTCCGGATCCTTTAATGAAGTCCATCTCTATGTTGTTGTAATTAATTTAGCTTTTCTTCTAAAATATCAGGGTCAAAGGTCAATTTATTTTAGGAATACAAACCAAACTTAGTTGACTTACTATAGCATGCAATCATTGTTTCTTCTTTTTTATACCCTCCACCACCATCAGTGGTGATAGAGGGTATATATAAGTTTGTCATTCCGTTTGTAACACTGAGAAATATTAATCTGAGACCCAACAAAGTATATATATTCTTGGTCCTTATGAAATTCTGAGTCGATTTAGTTATGTCCATCTGTCCGTCCGTCCGTCTGTCTGTATAAAACACGCTCACGTTAAAACGAAGCAAAGTAGATCAACCAAATTCACCGAGAATATTCACTATTGTCCTAAGCAGTTTGGTATTGAAACTGAGCAAAATCGGTTCACACCGGGAAAAGTTATGAATCAAAATTTAAAACAACCTCAAAAAAAATAAGCATTTTTTACACATTTTGATGTAATTTTCTCGAAAAATATGCAAGGTACTTCCATGAAAATCACCACACATTCGTTTCTGCATAAGATCTTGATTCCTGCTGAAAATTGTCAGAATCGGTCCACAATTTCATATACCTCCCATACAAAAGTACATATTCCCGGAAAATGAGTTTTTTGTTAATAACTTCCGTCACAATGTCGATATCTTCACAAAATTTTACAAATTAAAATCTTTTGTCAACAGAATTTATCCAGAGAAAAACTTTTTTTGATCGGTCCATAATTGGACATAGCTCCCATACAAGGTCCCCTCCCGAAAATAACTTAAACGCGCATAACTCATTAGTAAATGAAGATATCCATATTTTGGTACAAGTATTGCTCTTATATACAGAAATATTACTATGAAATTGTTTTCCGATCGGTTCATATTTGGTCATAGCTCCCATACCAGGTCCCCTCCCGAAAATCACTTAAACGCGCATAACTCATTACTAAATTAAGATATCCACATAAAAATTTGGTACAAGTATTGCTTATATATACAGAAATATTACTGTGAAATTGTTTTCCTATCGGTCCATAATTGATCATAGCTCCCATACAAGGTCCCTTTCAGAAAAACACTTAAAGGCACATAGCTCATTACCAAATAGTGTTACTCATAAAATATTTGGCATAAGTACTAGTTTTGTACACATAAATTTTATTTCAGAATTTTTTCACGATCTGTCTGTCCTTGGTCATAGCTCCCATACAAGGTTCCCTCCCGAAAATCACTTAAACACACATAACTCATTACCAAATATTGATATCCATACATTTAGCAAAAATATTGCTCTTATATATATAAATTTAACTATAAAAATAAATTTGTCTTTATATACATAATTGGTCATAGCTCACATACAAGGTCCTTTTACGAAAATCTCTTAAACGCACATTACTCATTACCAAATAAAGCTATTGATACAAAATTTGGCACAAATATTAGTTTTGTGTACAACAATTCTATTTCAAGAATTTTCACGATCTTTTCATAACACGGGTGCGGTCGGTCCCATACAAGTTTCCCTTCAGAAAATCACATAAACATACATTACTTATTACTAAATTACGATATAGATACAAAATTTGACTGAAATATAGCTTTTATGTACAGAAATTAAGCTTAAAGAATATTTTACGATCGGTCTATAATTGGTCATATCTCCCATACTAGGTCCTGCCCCTAAAAGCGCTTTAACGGTATTTAACTAGTTATCATTAGCATTATCAATTTGTGTAGAACAAAATTATATATGTATATGTATTTGGAAAATCCTTAAATCTTTCACACACGCATACATGCAAATTACTAAATATCGCTAAGCGCTATAAAAATACATATAAAGAAAATGATCTTGGAATTGTAATAGATTTAAGCTGTTTAAATCTTGGGATTTTTTCTATTTAAGACATGAGAAAACTTATTTCTACAAATATTTGATCAATTAGAAAAGTATTAATATAAAAGTAGCTGGTGGAGGGTATTTAAGATTCGACTCAGCCGAATATAGCACTATAACTTGTTTATAAAAAAATTTACCAAAAGATAAAGTTTTAACAGCCCAAGAAAATAAAGCTGAAATGGGCAAAAAAAAGAGTTAATACAACTTGACAGTCATTGCAAAGAATTGTATAACAATAAATCAGAAAAAACTCTTAGAAACATTTTATCCTTAGCAACATTTTATCTACAGACAATAACTTAAACAAAACGAAATAATCGTATATGTATGTGTGTCTCTCTGTATAATTGTGTAATGGTAGAAGCCCTACAAACATTTAGAAGATATCTTCCATAGAAGATAAAAAAGCAATAACTTATTTTTGTTATTTGGAAGAAAATCACCAAAGCAATATGTTTTTAATATCGTAATTATAGCCTTTAAAAGATATAAAAGCAATAATTAAAATTTAAATTTTTTTCTAAACTTCAAAATATTTTCATATTTTTCTTACAAGAAAAATTGAAAAAAGATTGATAAATTATGAACGTTATCCATAAATCAAGAAGATCTCGATACATTGGACAAGGAATTCTTTAAAAAAGTAAGTTTACCTTTGATACAAAGTTTGCAGTTAAAAATTGGTTAACATGATCTAGTGTTTTCAGATATGCACATACGAATGTCCCTAAAATTCAAGAACATAAAAAGTTATCCTGTGATCGGTTATTATGTTGTAAATATGCGAATTTATAATGTATTTTTAAATGTTTTAATAAATTGTTGTTATTTTTTCATCATAAAGATATATGTTTTTATCTTCCAGAAGATTATTTGAAGATATCTTCTTTTTTCCACACAACTGATTACCTAGCAATTTCGCTTTTTTATCTTCTAGAAGAATTGCTTTCGTATTGCTTAGACGTTTCGCCCTAGACGCACAATCTCTCCCGAAGGATGTATCTTCCGCAATAGGAATATGATTGTTGCCGCAACAACATTTTTCTTCTAAGCAATACGAATTCGTATCATTTTCGTATCCTCTTGCTGGTAGGGAGGAAATGATTGAAAAATATTTACTTCCTGACAACAAATATGAAGTTGAAATTGAACAAAAACAAACAGAGAAGAAAAACTAATGAAATTAACATGACAAAGAATTATCTATTTTCCGGTTAAGTTTAAGCAGAGTTTCAAGATTCTTTTAATTAAATTACTAAAAGTTTAATTTTAAATGTTTTTAATCATATGCATTTTTTTGCTGCTTGCAAATTTAATTGTATTTACTTGTATTTAATCCTTTACTTATCTTTTGTTTTTCTTTTCATGTATCCACTTCCGGCTGGCTATGTTGTCTCCAATTTTTTATTTCAACTCAACAATGTGTTTTAATTTCAATCTTTATTCTTTATGATCTCGTGTGTGTGTATATATGTGTAACTTTGCTTGTAAATAATTGTATTCGTTTCCTGTTGACAATTTCTTGTTGCATATTATTTTCTTGTGTCAACAAACATTTTCTCCTTTACTGCTTTACTCTGCTGCCCATTGTTGTTGTCCCTTCTTATATAGCCTCTCTCTCATCAATGGCTGCACTTGCAATGCAAACATTCTGTCATTACCCAACGTTAAACAACAATTTGATCTTTTTACCCTATAACATACATACATACATACAGCCACACAACGATGAACAATAAATTGTCAATATAAAATATTTTATCCTTTTCAATTTACGCTTTTCATTCACAATATTATTATTATTATTTCTTTTTTCCTTTTTCCTCTGTGGCTCTGTTTTTTAAATAAATAAATCGTTTGCTGCTGTTCCCATATTCACTCATGTGACCTTTATCTATCAAATATGTTTGTCTTCTTTGAAACACGGTATTCCTTTGATGCACACACACAAGCATCCTTCGCCCACTATTGTACATACGTCCACATATTCCGAACCCTTAGCATATAGAAAATGTCAAATAACCGATGTATTTTGTAATCAACCTGGTGGTCTAGCTCCCTCTGATGGCAGCCGTCTGTCCGGTCCCCAAAGAGAAACGTTGTGATGGCTATTTAGATTGTCGCAATGGTCGTGATGAGGAGAATTGTAGGGGTACTGCCTGTCGTTTGGATCAATTTCATTGTGCCCATGGTTTAAAGTGTATTAGTGCTTGACTCAAGTGCAATCACAAAGATGACTGTGGTGATAATTCTGATGAACTTACTACTGCATTATTTTTCTTAATTTATCTTTGTGTGTGTGTTGGTTTTTTATTGTTACTGCACTTTGCATAAAAATGCAAATAGTAACGGGTTTGTAAGAGTGAGGGTGAGGGGGGTGCAACAACATTTTGTATGCAAATTTACATATATTCTGCCGCATTAAGCTAGAACAAGGTTAAAAGATAAGGGACGATAAGATTAAATGAGATGAGTAGTCGAGATACATTTGCTAGAATTCGGCTTAAGTAATGTGGCTGCTTAAGAGATTTTTTTCTACAATTTAACCAAGTGAAATATTTAGTTTAACTTTATATGGCTTAAGTAGGCATTTGTAAAGCAACCTGTTGGCTAGATGGTCATTAAACATTTCTTATTTAAAAAAACTTAAATTTCATTATTTAAAGAGAACATGTATCGTCAAAGTTTTTTAAATTGTCATATACACGAATTGGCCGCCAAAAATGAAGAAATAAACAAGCTATATTTTTAAAAGAGAAAAGTTAATTCAAATACTAAAAATGGAATCTTCCAAAAAAAAAAGTTTAAGTTCTTCCTTAAACTTGGTTGACAACCTAAATCACAACTTAAGTATTTTCAACTACAAAATATTCTTATAAATTGCAACAAAAAATATGTTTGTATTTCAATTTTATTTAGTAAATACTTCCATACCATTACAATTTTTCTTACAAACTTTCCCACCATAAAAATAAGCTAAAATTTTCCCAAATTTTGTAAAAATTACAAAAATTACTAGGTTTTTTAAAGTATTTTCTACCTTTACGAAAAATCCCCTATTATTTCCTGTCACCCTTCTACATATGCAATTAACTTTTTTCTAGTAGATTTCTCCTCTTTCATTCTCATTCTCATCATCTTACGGTTCGTGCAAAGCAACTTTGAACATTTCCTTAACATAACACACTCTAATTACTCTGTTCACAATATATTACAATCATCACCATAAATTCTTTACGTTTCCTTGCATCATTTTAGATTCTCTACCTTGTCATCATGATCAATTCCGTTGTACAAACGCATTATGTATACCCTCGAATTTTTATTGTGATGGTTATCGTGACTATGCTGATGAAAGTGATGAAGCCAATTGTATTGCCGTACAATATGTCCTGATAATAAGTTCCTTTGTCCACGCGGTGGTGCTAATGGGATACCGAAATGCAAGTATTAAAATGCGTGAGAACACACATATGCAGATTTTCATTGCATATATTACATACATAAGTCTGAGATATAGGGTTTAAAGGAATGTTCTAAAATCAAGTAAATTCCTTAATATATATGTTATAACATATGTTTGAATATTTTACAATATGAAATAATTCCTTTAAGTCTTCTACGGTCTCTACAAAACAGTTGCACATTTCTATGTAAATTTCATTGTAAAATACATTATTTATATGCGTATGTATGTGTCTATTACATCACTATTTCCTGCCCGGCCTTAACCTGTGAATATAAATGTGGTCCCTCATTAACGGGAGGTATCTGTTACTTTCGTCCTGACCGATCTTTGGCTCCTAACAATCGTACTTGTGTAAATTTAGATGAATGTGCAGAATGGAGATCATTGTGAACAATTGTGTACGAATGCCGAAGGCTCCTATTCCTGTTCCTGTAGTCACGGTTATACATTAATCGAAAATGCTAACTGTATAGCAATGGATGATAATAACTTACAATTGATTGCTCATAATCGTGCAGTGGTTAAGATGTCGGCCCATGGCAGTGATAGCTAATGCTAGTGCTGCCTCAGGTGTGGCCTATCGTTATCAAAGGAATACCCTGTACTGGTCAGATATTAAGACATATACAACCATTAAATCTTACCTTACCCGGTACCTGTGCCCCCGTTGCCCTGGCTGTAGATTGGGTAGGTGATAAAATATATGTAGCCGAATTGAGTGGCAATTGGAATGCTGTAGTTTTGGGTTCCAATTTGACCAGTACTGCTGATTTGGCTTAAGATCTCACCACTGGTTTAAAGTTTGTGGCCGATGGTGGCCAAGTTTTAAGAGCTCATATGGAATGTACTTTTGGTCATTGTATACCTGTCAACTTCTGTTGTGATCAGAAAAATGATTGCGGTGATAATTCCGATGAATTTGAATGTGGCAATGTTACTTGTGGTGCCGCACAGTTTGCCTGTGCTAATTGCCGTTATATACCCATTATGTGGAAGTGTGATAGTGAAAATGATTGCAGTGATGGCTCCGATGAGGGTGATTTTTGCGATGAAAAAACTTGTGCCTACTTCCAATTCACTTGTCACGCACTGGTTACCGTAAACCTCAAAGTTGGGTGTGATGATGATTGTTTCGATATAACAAGATGAAAAAGATTGTACTCCCATTAGCGCAGTGATGCCAGGAGATTTTTTTCAGAAATCCCTACGCTTATGAGAAAAAATCCCTTTTTTCCCTACACCCACTTTTTATTTTCCCTACACTACTTTTTTCCATTTTTTTCAAAGTTTATCTTAAAAAAATACAAAAATAACATCAAAAACTAAAATATTAGCTCCGTTTTATAATATACATATATGTATGTATTTTTTTTTTTAATTTTTAGGAATGAAATTTCTAGAATTTAAATTTTATTTTTTTTTTTCTTTCAATTTTACATCATACAAATCTTCCAACCCTGACTCTTCAGTTAAGATTAAAAAAAAAAACAATTGAAAGATTTATGGCAGTATATCGAATCGTGATAAAAATTTATTTTATGTGCCTCCAACAAAAAAATTTTCATAAAATAATTATTTTAAATAAGGTTTACTTTTGCGTTTACTTTTTGCGGTTTACTTTTATAAATTTTCAGAACATTAAATTCATTTTTTCAGTCCTGAGTTACTGCATTAAGCCCCCGACTACTCTATCTATAAGGAGTCAGAATATATCGCCCTACAGGATTGGCATAATCCAAAAAGTCGTTTCAAGAAAAATGGATATGAATATTTAATGACATTTAACTATTTTTTAATAACTTTTAAACAAATCAAGGGGTTTTAAAAATCCAGATTCAGATAGTTGAGGTTAATATGTTTCTCATCTAAATTGAAATTAAATTTTTAGTTGTCTACTATTCACAAAAACGTGGGTTTTAGTTTTTACGTTTACAAAAAACCGATTTCACATCGAAAATAATAGACATATTTGAAATTTCATAAATCTATATGAAAGATTTTAGTATGTCGCATGTTTTGAAGACCTTAGTTCAAGAAAGCCGAATTTTGGATTATGCCAGTCTTGTAGCGATATGTAGGTACATATATTGTAGAAATTACAAGCGGAATTTTTACTAACGATACACTTAAAACTGATTTCATTTTTAATTTAAAAGTTTAATACATGAAAGAGTATATTTTTAGTTGTTAAAAATTATGAAATTGAAAAATCCCTACAATTTGACAATAGTAAGAAATCTTTCCCTTTTGCCCTACACGTGATATTTTTGAAAAAATCCCTACAAAAAGGGAAAAATCCCTACACTTGGCATCACTGGTCTGGCGTATCAGTTCAAATGTGCGGATCTCCGTCAGTGCGTAGAGGAATTGGATAAATGTGATGGTATACCCAATTGTAATGATGGATCCGATGAATTAGGTTGTCCCTCTGTGAGTCCAAATCAATGTAATTTGGAGAAGCACTTTAGATGCAGGTCTACTGGTTTCTGCATGCCCATTGCCTGGCATTGCGAGGAAGATTGTGGTAAAATCACTTATGTAACCAATTTCTTCAAATGTAACCATACCAACTGTGATTTCAATGCGTATATCTGTGATGGAAAATATGATTGTGGTAATGTTTCCAATGTCCTTTAAATGTTCTCATGGTCAATGGCAATGTCCGGGAGTAAGTGAACGTTGTGTCGATATGACCTTGGTGTGTGATGGTACTCCTGGTTGTCGCAATGGTGCAGATGAGGGTGAAGGTTGCGATTTGGCCGATTGTGAACATCAAACAGGCTTATGTTCGAATAGCTGACAGAAGGCTCTATTGGCTGCTACTTGCGTTTGTCCCCCTGGATCCGAAATTGATGCCGATAAATTGTACTGAGATCAAGATTTTCAATCGCTGGTAGGGAACTGAGGCACTTTTGAAAAGAGGTATTCCTACAAAATGTGGTCCACGGGACACTCTAGTGTGGTTTTATAGACATACTCTCATACAAACTAATTCAACATGGCATATAAATACCAGTGTATGTCATGAGCGTTAAAGTCATTTTCTGAAGGAGACCATATAGGGGGCTAGGCAAAATCGTGGACTAATATTGACCATTTTCAATACCAAACAATCTGCATCAGCTAAAAACATCTGTTTCCTTTTGGACATTATCATGATTTTAACTGACAGACAAACGAACATGGCTAGATCTTCTTAGAATCTAATAAGGACCCAGCATATATATACTTTTATGTATCTTAGACGAATATTTCGATGTGTTACAAATGGAATGACAAAAACATTCATCTTTTTTGATGGTGGGTATAAAAAAGCGTAGAAAAGGTCTCAATTATAAATGCCAATGTTTTAAGAAAAGTAAAATTATTAATAAGAAACTTTTTTCCTTGTAAATCTAAATTTTCTATAAAAATTAAAAACATATTATTTAACCCCAACAACAGCAGAGTTCCCCAAGTCCAACACAAATATCCATACAAATTAACTAGCAAACCTAGAAATATAAAATAAGTAAATATTGCTTTTTTAAGTTTTTTTGACAGTGAAATTTGTAATTTGCCTAAGGTTTTTACAAAGATTGTAACCTAATAAAATTGCGAAACTTCAAAAAAAGAATATCTAATAAAAAGCAAACAACTGATTTAGTCTCCGTAACAAAGTAGTATTGTTTTTTATTTATTCGTTCCGTGTAACAATTCGAAAAAAATGTAAATGTGTGATTTGTGTTAAATTTCCATAGAATAATTAATTTATATGCATATTTTATGAAAAGGTCCTTTTAAGGGCCAGGAGCATCAAAAAGAGAGAAAAAATTTATTCTCAGAAATACTAATAAATAAGTGCCCGTGTTCTGTATATTTCGAGTCGTGAAAAAAATATTGAAATATTAGAGTCTTCCACTTTTTAGTTGTGTGATTCAAATAATTTTTAAACTGAACACATTGCAATTAACCAAAAAATATTTATTTATTTACGTTCACTCTATTTTAAACAAGACGATTATAAATTTTCCGAATTTTTTTATCGATTCGCAAGTATGTTCTAAATTATATTGTTGAAATATTTACAAAATATATGTACATATGTATGTATTAGGGTGATCGACTCGGTTTTTCAACCGGTTTTAAAGCCGGTTTTTTCTGCTTTACCAGTGTCGGTTTTTTCTAAATGTTGATTTTTCGGTTTTCTCACTTTTTAAAAACCGGTTTCGAATTCTTTTATTTGCTTTGTATTCTAAGATTACTTAAATTAAATTTTGAAAAAAATAATAATACAGCCCGTCTAAAATTTAAAAATATTCGACTCGAGGAACTAGAGTTTATTTTTCTAACGCACCTTTGGTTAAACTTTTTTATTTTCCTAATTAATTAAAAAAAATTATTTGTAAAATTTATTGTAATAATTTTTTGATAAAATTTTAAAAATCTTAAGATTATTCCAATTACAATAATAATTTTGCGGCTGAAATGTTATGGAAGTGTTAGAATGCCTATGAAAATTGCCAGGGACTTTAGAAAGAAATAAAGTAAATCGGACGACTAGATCTAGAGTTATAATCTTTTAAACTGTTAAAAATCAGTTCGGACCATGTTTTATTAATCAAATTTAAACATAAACATTAATTTTTTCAAATTAAAATAGATTTTTTTAGTTATAATAAAAACCCGGTTAACCGGTTTTTTTCCGAATTTGAAAAATATCAACCGGTTTTTTTCAAATGTCAACTATTCTAACTATTCGAAAACCGGTTTTTGGAAAATTTCGAATAATCGATCACCCTAGTATGTATGTATGCAATTTTTATTAGTATTTTATCTTTCCAATACGTATGTGCAATATTAAATACAAATGTATAACGTATACGTACGTAGGTATTTTGAAAATCACAGTCATTGTTTCACATATATTTTTTATCTCGTCCTGAAAACAAAAAATGACAATGATCATTATAGTCATATATAGTCATATTATCTAGTCTTCGAAAATTTATAGACGACAATTTAAAATCAACAATAACATTTGGTGAAATTGTAAATTGAACATTAATTAATGTTTTGCTTAACTATGCATATATTGTTACATAATATCTCACTACAAACTTTATGTATATGACTATGATACTGCAGTATCACATATTAAATTCATCAACTCTATTTAAGCTATATTATTATGATTTAAATAATGTAGCACGGGTGTGATGTTGATGAGGTTGGCATCTCAACAAGTCAAATCCAAAGAGCGTGAGGGCGATATTAGATTCATGAACTCTATTGAAGTTCAATTATTAAGATTTAAAAAATATAAGCACAACCGTAATGTTGGTGTGATTGTCATCTCAACATGTCAAGTCCAAAGAGCGTGAAGGTGATCACCAACATGCTAGAAAACAATTTAATGGGTGGCCTTGGTTGATGTTGTCCAAATAAACTACCATCGGACCGAGAAAAAATTTACATCTGTCTGTTATGCAGAATATGTCGTAATACTTCTAAGGGGAAAGGATCCAAATCTGTCTTTTTATAAGAAAGATAAAAAGGTTTATGTATATTGAACCCTGTTTCCTGGGAAAAAGGAAACCGGTTGCCGACAAAAAGACGAAAACCGTTGTAGGACACGACATCAAGGTATAATGGACACATTGGAAGACTTTACACAAACATCACACCAGAAAATGAATATATCGGAAAATTTAAAACATTTGAGTAAATACCCGTAGGAATCCATTGCTTCAGGGATGGCTCTAAGCTAGGGGACACAACGGGCATGGGGTTCTATTGTAAAGACACAAACACATGGACGTATCTAAGGAGTAATCGAGTTAAAGATTTGAAATTAAAATCCTCAACGGGCGGCGCATTTAGTTTGTCTTTATAAATTAAATGGTCAATATTACATTATAATGTGATCTAGCCAAGAAATATTGTCTCCGAATGGGTTGAGTGACATTTTCCAAACATTGTCTTTAAAAACGAGTTTTGTAAGGGATCAAAAATGAATAATATAGATCTACGGTTTTACATAGTCTACATACAAATGTCCTATTAAAAGTTGATAAATATATGAATCATGATGAAATTCTACAACTTAAATTAAAATTACATTTTGGGTTGGTGACAGTATATCAATAAAATTATACACAAAATAGCCA